AATATCGTTGTTTTATTTTATGTAGTAATCAATATCAAGATTTAAAAGATAATGTTGTTGGATTTTTAACATTAAGAGAAGAAACCGAAGGATCAATATACATTGCTCAAGTAGCTGTTCGACTTGATGTTAAACGACGAGGTTATGGAGTTCAATTATTACAACATTTACGTCATGTTTATCCACCAAATACTTATTATTGGGGTTTATGTCGACGAGCTAATCGACCAGCTTTACAATTTTATCTTAAAAATGGTGCAAAATTTATGAATAATGATGATGTAGCAACTAAATATGGATATGATCCAACATTATATGCCGGTTTTGAATTTTTCGATCCTGTTTCGTAAGAAAAATTTAATACGGACAAAAAAAAAAAATATTTTTTTTTTTATCGTACAATTACTTCTTTAGTGTTGTTGTTCCACAAATAAAAACAATACTAAAAACAGAACCAAATATTAATAATTCTGATCAACAACCAACAATAACAAGAACGTATGTATTCTTCTTTTTAAATGTTCTTTAATTAAATATTGTCGTAATACCACATTTTCTATCTAATATATATCTTTATGATTTACTGATACTCAAAATAAAACCTTAAATAGTGCTACGATATGTTTGTTTCAGTTCAATCAAAGAGGATGATTTTTTTGGTTACTGATAGAAATTTGTTTAAACTTTCTCTTTTTTTTTCGTATTGAATGAACTAGATAAATAATATAATGATGTGTTATTTATTTGATATCACAAAAGTAATTTTACCTTTTATCAAATAAGAAGAAATTAAAATGAACTTTATGAATGATTTTTATATTGTTGCATGTAGAATAAATTTTTAAGACTAGTAGTTAATTAAAAGTCAACTATTCAAAAATGACAGTAGCATTTTGTTTCTGTTATTTGTATAAAAAAAAAAAGATATTTTAATTTTCTATTCTAATATTATTTATGACCGACCTTATATATTTCTTTTGTATAAAATAATTCTTAGACATGCATATTTCTACAAGAAAAGTGAAGCTATCTTTCTTATATTTATCGTCTTTTATATGTTTAATTTCATCAGTATTTTATATTATTATTGAAAATTTTTCTTTACTATTTCTTTTTTAGAGCAGAAGATAATGAAAGTCCTTTATTGAAAAATAATACTGAAGAAAATCAAGAACAACAAAAAAAGAAGAAGAAAACAAAATTAGTCAAGTGTTGCATTATATCATGAAATACATATAATATCATCGTATAAATCTTAAAATTGATATAAATATATGTCATTTTTCTTATTCGTTTTTTTTTTTTCTATTTCAAATATTCTTTGACATGTTTCAATATACATATATTAACCTAATCAAAAATTATAATAAATTTTAGATTTACAATAAAAGAAAAAAAAAATAATGGGTACTACACTTCGTAAACATTTGAAACCATCATGTTTACATGAAGAATTTGAAAAAAATTCACTTTCATCTTCATCAAATATTCAAGAATCATCAATAGTATCTTTACCTGATGGTATAACACTTCTATGGCTTGATCCATGTGCTAGTGAATCTCATTCAATTGATGATAAAAATATTATCAATTATTTATGTCAATTGAATATAGCTTCAATTCGACTTTATGATAATATTAATTTATGTCTTAATTTTTTAAAATCTCTTTTATATATTAAAAAAAATCAATTTTCAAAAATATTTCTTATTATATCCGATGTATTTTGTTTAGAAATTTTACCTCAATTAAAATCTATATCAATAATTGATTCAATTTTTATTTATTCTATAAATCAAATAAAATATCAAGAATTAATTAAAGAATATAAAACATTAATAATTAATATTTGTACAAATATTGATGATTTATATAATTGTATTAATAAACAAATAGAAGAATGTGATAAATTAAGATTAGTTTTTCATTTTTTTTCACAAGAACAAAATACAACAAGAGATTTAACTAATGATGCTGCATCATTTCTTTGGTTTCAATTATTTCAAATAATAATAAGTAATTTAAAATGTACAGAAAATGATATGAATATAATGCTTAATTATTGTTCAAAACAATTACAAGAAAATACAAATCAAATAAAAATTTTAACTGAAATTGAAGAATTTCGTCAAAATTATACAAGTGATAATGCTATTTATTGGTATACTAAAGAAACATTTGTTTATCGTCTTCTTAATCGATCGTTACGTACAGAAGATATTGAAGCATTATATATATTTCGATTTTTTATTGCTGATTTATGTCGACAATTAAAATTTGAACATGAAAAATTACAAAAAAAAGAAAATCAATCATCTATTTTAATACTTTATCGTGGTGTACATATTTCAAGTGAAGAATTAAATAATTTATTTGAAACAATTGGACATTTAACAAGTTTAAATGGTTTTATTTCAACAAGTATAGAAAAAAGTGTTGCTATGAATTTTTTAAAAAAACAAACATCAAGAAAAACGAATATTGAAAAAATTTTATTTATTATTGAAGTTAATATTCAATCTGAATATATAATATGTGCTTATATAAAAGAATTAAGTGCATTACCAGATGAAGAAGAAGTTTTATTTAATATAGGAACTGTATTTTATATTGAAAAAATTATATTTGATACAGATGAAAAAATTTGGAATATTTATATGAAAGCTACTGAAGATGGTCGAAATGCAGCACATGATTATATTGAATTAATTCATCAAGAATTAACAGATACAAATGTATCAATTATATTTGGACAACTTTTTATTCAAATGGGAAAATATATTATAGCACAAAAATATTTTCTTGATTTACTTGAATATTCAAAAGATTATGATGATCGAGATTTATTATCTATACGTTATCATTTAGCATTAACTTATAGTTATCAATATGATTTAATTCATGCTGAAAATCTTTTAAAAGAAATTTATAAATATTATAAAATAAATGATATTAATCTTGCTCGTATAGAAAATGGTCTTGGATGGATTTATCATCATAATGGTGAATTAGATGAAGCAATGAAACATTATCAAGCAGCTTTTAATCTTGCTTCTAAACAATTAGAATTAAATCATTTAATTAATGCACAAACATGTAGTCTTCTAGGTGATTGTTATCTTGAAAAATATGATTTTGATCAAGCAGAAATATTTAATAAAAAAGCTTTAGATATTGAACGTTTACGTTTACCTATTAATCATCCACGTATTGGTGTTACACTTAATGATATAGGTGATGTATATCGTAAACGAAAACAAATGCAAATAGCATTAGATTATTATGAACAAGCTGAATCAATTTTTCATCAAAGTTTACCAAAATATCATCCTTATAAAGCTTATTGTTGGTCATGTATGGCTTTTGTCTATCTTTATAATGAAAAAATAGAACAAGCACAAGAATATCATGAAAAAGCACTTAAAATTTATCGACATGTTTTACCATCTGATCATATAAATATTAAAATAAGTGAAAAAAATTCTCAATGTACAGATTTTCAAAAAATAAATGATGCTTATATTAAAGTTTGTTCACAAGTTTAATAGTTTATTATTATTATGATTTTTTTTTGTTTTTTGAATATTATTTAAAAATAAATTTTGTTATTCTTATTAGTATTTAGTAATTATGTAGTTCATTTAGTTTGAATATTAAATCGAAATAAATTATATTTTCAATATAAAAATAAGATTATTCAATGTTTTACATAAGAAAATAATAAAAGTATTAAAATAAACTTTCATTCGATTTTGTTTTTGTTGATGATGATCATTATAATAGTAATGATTTTCCAATACGAAAATATACATCAACAAAATCTACTTAGGG